TCTTTCCCATTTTAGCCAGCATGTTTGAACGTGTAGGCTTGTTTTTCGAAGGCATTCAAATGTAGATAATGTACATACCACTGAATAAAACATTTCCCTGTATCCATGGTGTGGAGAGAAGTACAGGTGATGAATGAAATAACAACAAATTTAAACCATTTTGCTGGAAGGCATGTGGCTGTCTTTCAAGAATCCACACTTTGGGAACCGTTAGGCTGAATGACTGGCCAGGAGAGCCCTCACATTGATTTTACAATCAACAAACTGTGCCTCAACTCCTTTGGCAGGGAAGAATTGGCCCATTGGTTTGAAAATTGATGGTGTTGGACACATTAAAACATACACACTCACACAAACAAACAAGACCACACACACACACGCACGCACACACACACATTCCTCATATTTTGAGGGTGCGTAAAGCTCAACACCTCGAAAATTGGTCCATTAGCTTCACAATTGATAGCATCACAAAAATGACACACTACAAGTACACACCCACTCTTCGAGTAACGTACAAGGCCACCTTTAAGTGAGCGTGTGTCTAACACACGCTGGTCTGTGAAAAAGGGTCATTTAAAGATCCATCGCCATCTGTTTCGGGCCCAGCATGCCATTTTCCCCTCTGTGGGGGCCTTTGATTTAGCGACAAAAGGGTACCATTGCTTCCTTCTTTCCCACTGTGTAACCAGACATCCAGTCTGAGCTGGTTATACAAATAAAACACTGCCGGGCATCCATCGTATCATCATAGGTATGACCACCTGTGTGAGACTGTTGATGGTAATCACAAGCATTAGGGGTCCCATTTAAACACTGATCAGGGAACCGGTTTGTTGTGTCCTTTGCAGATATCACATAATCAGGAGTGACTATGACGTATGAGGAATCAGGTGGATGAGTATTTCTGAGTTCTGAAGAAGAGAAAAAATAATTTGACTGTTTTAGTTTTGAACAACAAAGCCATGACAATGTTCAGCAGCTCGTGTCTCAGTTCTTCCTCCAGGATGCAAATTATTCTATTAAGTTCCTCCTCTGGCTGTGATCTCTTAGCAGAACTCCATGGTGCTAGATAATTCCACAGTCTTTGTTTCCTGCAGAAAGGCACTGTAAAATTCAGCTGAGGCTAATGTAAGGTTTCAGCAGTCATTTTGTTTCTCAACGACAAACCTACCTGCAACTTGCTGGACAAATCCTTTGTCCTACAAAGGTATTGCTCAGAGGGCAGTATGGAGAAGAGGAATGACTACAGTTTAAAGAGTTCTGCATGAATTTAGCATGTCTTTCTAAAGCCACACCCCCAGATTTCTTTCATTGTCAAATGTATAGTCTTCAGCCCCAACTGACATCACTTGAGGCACTGTATTAGATTTCACATAGCCACAATAAAAAGGCTTCGTTCACTCCCTAAAACCTGTGAGCAGACTTCCGTGTGAGTATTTCCTCCTCGACATGATCATAACGTCTCCGTCTGTGTGAGAAACCATCATTAAAGTCCCCGGGAAGTCTGCCTCCAGTTCTTTCTGTTGCATTCTTGTATCCTAATCAAGCAGGCATTTAAAAACAAACATGTGGTGTGGAACCACACAGAGGAGGCTGTCACCATCTTCTTAAGCCAACGGATGCACTTAGAAATGAGAAGGACTGTAGAACATGCACTGGTTAAATAAAAAGAGGGAAAACTACTAAAGTGAGTTAGTGTCTGTGTGAGAAGTTGTTCCCGCCCAGATTAAACTCTCTCTGTCTTTTTGTGTGTTAGAATGCAGTGTGAGGTGGTGCTTCGGGTAAAAAGAAAACTAGTTAGATTGCCTTTAGGAAAAGAAAAAGAAATTACTTTTATGCAAAGACTTGAAATAATCCTCCGCTGCATGAGATTGCATTTCACATTCAAAGAAACTCGTTCATCAGCCATTCAAAGAAACTCAGTCATCCACCCAGGTGGTTTGCCAACAGCCAACGGTTACAGCAACACCACACCTCCTGCTGAAGGTTTCCCAGGATACAAAGCTCAATCATTCAGTGATGCGACTTGCAGTGGCATGTTGATGATGGAATACGCTGATGCCGAACTTCACCCATTACTTGTTTCTAGAGGGTTTTTACAGTTGAGGATTTGGTTATAAGAGGTTTCTTCAGCAAACTTTCAAACTGGAGTTGAGTGTAACTGTGACTATAACAAAAAGAGAAAAGGCAGTGAATCATAATCGCCTCTAGCAGAATATAAAGGCGTGAGTTGCTCTGATTAACAGAAGTCTAACACTCACTGAACTATCTGGATTAGGCCATGCACTTACATTTCTCAGCCTCCAGAGGGCAAATACATCCATTTCTTCAAGCTTAAAGATGCCCATGCACTGGCTCTTTTTTTTTTAAACTAATTCCCAAACAGCTTGTGTGCATGACATGACTTGTTTTTGTAGTACATTCTAATATATGTGACTATAGGAAGGCTAACCACAAAAAAGGAGCCTTAAATAAATAGTTGTGTTATTACAAAATAGGCGAGGGAAAGACAACATTCCTTGACACAACACTGGGAATGTGTGAAACATGTACCAGACCATCGGGAACACTGGAGGAATTCAGGAAAGCAGAAGATAAGTTACAGAGAGAGGATGAAAAGGGGGAAAGGGAGGGATGGAGAAAAGGGGGAGCAGTGGAAAGGGAAAGGAAAGGAGGGGGACAGTTGGAAGAATGACAGGATGGGAGCGTCATTCCCTCTGCTCTATCCCGGAGGTGAAAGTGGGAAAAGTCAGAGATCAAGATGGAGGAACGGGAGGTCACACTTTTATGATGACAAAAGTGTGTGTCTCCAAGGAGGAGCGGTGACAGTGAGAGGGGTTACAGACACTGGGGTTTTTTAGTTGGAGGAGGAAGGAAATTTGCTAGTGTGCGTCTAGCACTTCCACTCTACTCTGATAGCTTTGAAGCTTGTTGAGCGAGCAACCTCAAGAAGAGGTGTTAGTCCTGGATGTTGACACAAGAGAATCCGTCTGGAGCGGTTCTGACTACATATATAGTCCGTATGTAAAGATTCAGCTGTAACAGAACAATGGCAAACTATGGCCTTCATGTCAACAAAGGTACCACTTTTTGGAGGAATAGTTATTTACTTATTTACTTTTTTTCCAAGAGTTACCTAAAGAGATTGATATTATTCTTATTATGTTATTATATCTGTGGGTCAAATATGAAGCTACTGGCTAAGGGGTGGGGCTTAGCCAGTTAGCTTAGCTTAGCACAAAGACTGAAAACAGGGAAAAGGCTAGCCTTGTTATGTCAAAAGTGAACCAAATCCACCTCCCTATGTCTCCAGTGTGTACACAAATGTGTAGTGTATAATCGCCTCAAATTATAAATCGCTGTTTTGGTGACCTTAGAATGAGGCGTTTTTTTCTACAGACACTGCGGGTCCTCTTCCACAAAGGCCAGCATGTTGAACCACCATGTTTCTACGTCCACTGTAGTTTCTCCTTCAGCGTTTAAAAGGGGAGGTTGAAGCGAAGGGGTTGCAATCTGCAACTGCACCGCTATATGTGCCGGTTCTTTAAACTACTACCTATTTTAACATACCTCATTTGTTTAGTGGGAAAAAAGAAAGTGATTGCACGCAGCCAAGAAATAGTCTGGCACACAACTCCCCCATAAAACGCTTTAGAGGTGCTGGTATGCAGCTATTTTGTCTTTGAACAGAGCCAGGTTAGCTGTTTCCAATCTTTGTGCTAAACTAAGCTAACTGTGCCCCATGCTGTAGATTCATCTAACTCTCAGCAAGAAAGCAAATAAATACGGTTTAAACTATTTCTTTAAATCAGCAGCTCTAAGGGCAGCCAAATGTGTTAAAATCACTTCAGCGAAGACTGAAATAACAACACAATTTAAAAATAAATGTTGTTGATTAATGTGGTTTGGATCTGAGGAGGACTGTGGACTCCGCCAACATATTTTAATGCTGTTCTAAGGTGTGCCTTTTCTGTGTGTGTGCATACAGTATGAGTAGTTGCAGAAAGCCTAATCTCAGTTTAAGGGTGTGAATACTTTATTGATCTT